ATTATTTCAAGTGTGAATAATTATTCTAGGATTTTTTGAATGATCATAAACTTGAGACTATTGGATACTGAATCAAAGTGACTATCGTACCTCTGCGATTAGCAGCACTTGAACAGTTTTAAAAGTAGGTCAATCTCTCTGAATCTGTTACATTCACTTCTCCGGAAAACCATTTCTTCAGTGCTACTAGTTATTATGTATATCGTTTTAGACTTGACCTGTTGGTTAAACCTAAATGACTTACAACTTCCGTTTCATTTATTTTACACAAAACACCAATGCTATCTACTACTCTTGCATGAAACAAAATCATTGAGATGACTATTGCTGGTTGTGTTTGAGATGTGTGAATTCTGGTGGGCTTAACAGTCATCTGAACTGTGAAACTTAAAATCAACCATTTCTAGTTTGGGATTAATTGGTGGATGGTGACTAGCAGTGGAATCCAAGTATACTCAAGTTAGTTTACAGGAGACAGAAAACATTATACTTCATGTCCCAAGTTAATAATGTAAATAAACAAAAGAATATAGAACAGTATGTTGTGTGTTTTGTCTTATTATTCCATATAGTAAGAGGTAATAAATAACTTTCTGAGTAAACAAATTGATTATTTTATTTACGGTCATGATTTGGATATGAGTAAATCGCGTGAATTAAGTATAACTTTAAACTAACTGATTAGTCTGAAAATATGGTGACTCAGATTATCATGCATATTTATGGTTGTTGTCATCGTCACTGTACAGGTGAGAAGACATACACAATCTATTTTCAGTGAGTATTGGTTGATATACCTGCAAAGCTTATAAGACACATGTCAAAAATGAGACACTTCAATTATCAGTCAACTTGTACAGATGTACTGGAAAGAAGTGTTCAACCAAATATAATAATTTTTACCATTAAGGAAGTAGTAAAGAGTGAATAAATAAAAGCTATAGTTGTGCCATGCGAACGTTTTTCAGTGAAATTTTAGTTAGAAATTAATTGAACAGACAGTCAGAGTACAGTGACTAAAACTGTAAAATAGTCTACATCATATCGAACTTTGGCGTTAGTCCGTCTTCAGGAAGTTTATTCAAAACTAATTTAGATATCTGCATCTCACTCTAGTGGACTTTTTGGCGACAAAATCTAATAACCATCGTCACTGTTGGTTTGAATCTTGAGGTAAACCAGCCTTCCGTTTTAAATTAAGCAATAACTCTCTCATAATCAACCGACATTTCAGATTAGATACGCCTTAGGTAGTCTTACAGGAATGCTCATGAGTCCTTTATAATGCAAGTCACTGTGTTAGGTGAAGTGTTTAGCCGTCTTATTCAAGTATGCTTCACACTTTAATTCCACTCTTTTTTAATTGACTGTAATGACGAAGCTATAGTAACTTTCATCACCAAAAGGAAACCACTACTTGACTGAAATTTGACATCAAAGATTTGAATATAGGAAAAATATCCATTCAGACATCTATAAAACACAAAATAATCGACCAAAAAAGATTTGTGCAGAAGAGTCAAGTCTAAAATAGCATATAATATACATATTTAATTCAGCCTAAAAAGGTAAATGATTTCTTATTGTGAAACTTACCGGTGAACGCGGAAAATCTTTTATTGGAATATCGGGAACATTTTTCGGCCTAACTAGTCAGATCTAGACTTCAGCATAACACTGTGCTTACCCACTATTGTTTGTAGAGAAATTTACGGTTAATGGATTAGTAAAAATATTAACAAACTTGTAAATACATTATGTTTGATGTGTGTCAGGATGCACTAGTTTATAATCCTCTGAGCTACTGTTAAATTCGAAGAAGCAGACTGACCCCAGTGATAGAAGTATAAGAAGAGATTTTCTGCTGCATGTCGTAATAATGATAATGATAAGGCTAGTATAGACTATGGCTGTTTAAACTGCATCCACAAATATTTTTCTCCATTTAGCATGGATAAAAATTTGTCATTCACTGTACACATGCATAATCAGTGAAATTCATCTCAATTCTAAAAAAATACAGCTGTTTTGTGAAGCAATTTAAGACTAACATTGACTGATAGGCAGCATTATAATAATCTGAATTATATCTCATACATTCTGTAATTTAAATTGTAGAACTGTTAGCAACAATAGCAACTAAGTCGTTTAAATATATCTCAGATTACTGAGTGTAACAATCGAAGAATTATTAAAGTTTTGTACAAACCAGGAAGGCTGACTGTTACATACGGTCAGGGAATTTAGTTAATTGACTCGCATTTGTGATGGATTTTACAGTTACATTTATTTTTATTGAAAGATAAAGTATTCTGTTGGTTTCATTTATTTGTCAGATGTTGTTATTGGAATGCTAACTGCCCTTTCATTCTGCTTCCTTGCGACTTAGCACTTTTTCAGAAAAAAATACATATTTTAAATGTTCTACCGCGTAAATGAAGGGGTAATAACTTGACTATTTTACATAAAATAAAGAACTGGTATAATTGCTAGCTATTGAAATGTTCATTTTTTAATCATTGTTGGGCTTAACATTTAGATTCGCTAGGGTGATGCTCAAAAGATCAAAATTGGTATTTATGAGGACATGATTTTTTTAATTAAGGATAATAATAATGGAGAGGTTGATAGGAGTTTTGCAGGTTTCTGAATGCTAAAAGGGTGCTTCGTAAATGAGGTCTACATCAAAAACTTAGTAAGGGGAGAATTCCAGCTTGAGAAATAGACAATTTGAATGTCTTCTGAAATTAGGTGTACTGCATGATAAAGTATTTGTTAATTCTTTCACCTCTTTATGGGTATTTCTGCAGACTGCAATGTGAGAAATACTTACAGAACTACAGTGGAACTGAAAACAAAAATAAGCTTCACATTAAGAAAACATATAGATATTCATTGCTTTTGGAAGTGGTTTCAATTTCTTCTTTGAATCAAGTATTTTCTCAAGAAATAAGTTATGAAATAAACAGGATTATTTTTTCTGTTATCTATAACTTGTCTGCTTTCCTATTCTTTTCAAAGGAATTAATGTGATTGCGTTTTCAGCTCACGGCATGAAGCAGAACAAGAAACCTTAAGAAGGTTATGGATATTCTACAAAAAACACACTCATTGGACTGGAAAAAGGTGTTATCTCTTCATTATTAGTCCACCTTTGAAAATAACGTGTCTTCACCCTTCTTGTCTTAGTTTACTTTACTCTTCCTGAAAATTGCTTCATCAGTCACAACGAACCGTCAATGTAACCAGGCCATTAATTAATAACAATGTAACACTGGAGCTTATATTACAATGAAGCGCATTTCAGTTTAAAATGTCCAATTTGCTGTATTTATTGCTATTACTTTAGTCTATATAGAAAAGTTTCGCGCTAAACATGTGTAAACTTCTGCAACTTCCCTTTGTATTACATCAGGACACTGAGTTTACGATATTTTACTTCCTGTCCTTTGTGTGCAACACAGGTCAGATAATCTTATATAAGCAGTGGCTTATGTTTTCTTTGTCAATCAGCTTATAATTGTTTAAATCCTTTGAAATAGACCAAGTTTAGCACTGTGAAATCAAAGAGCCTAAACGGCTGTTCAATGTGACAAACAATATACGCAAATATTTAAGTTTGAGCCAAATTTCTAATTCTAGTTTCTTTACTATTTATCCCCTTGATTTTTGCATTTACTTCATGAATGTTTTTCGGTTTATAACTTTTCACTGATATGTAAAAGTAATAAAATAATGACACTAACTTACACACTGAAATGAAATGTGTTTTGCTTACAATAGTAAGTGCTTCAAATCGGTATATGAATCTTCAGTCATATTTTTAGGGTTCAACATGTGTATCTGCATAATAAGAGATATTGGAAAAAGTGTTTTTCGAGGAATAATATATTCCTATGTTTGTTAAAAACAAATATTTTCATATATTTTACAACTTGAACTGTTGCACTTTTGCGTTAAGTTTTATATTAAAAATACAGTTCTATTATAGTCGTTGTTTTTACAAAGAAGTAATTATTAAATATGAATATAATACTATAAGCCCCCAAAGAACTACAACATTTCACAAGAATCATCAATGAATAAACTACCCTCATAACACTTTTTTTCAATTTACTTTACTAAACAGTAAAGTAAAATATGTATCTGTGGTTAGCATAATGGGATGAATACGTTTCACAAATGTTCTACTTGATCGATACAGTATCAGGATTTTTCGTTTTCCTTTTGCCATCCAATATTTAAAGTGAATGATTTACGTTGGAGTTAATCAGACAAAGAGCTTATTGTTACTTGTCAATGAGCTGCTTAATTGATTAATATTATTTAGTAAGGCCAGTTTTATGATGAAACAAATTTATGCTTAGTGCTCAACCTTCATTATGCAATCTAGGTCACACATGTAAAAGCAACTGATGCCTGAATTTGAACCGTGTTATGAATTTTGGTTATGTGATATATAACCAGCAAGCATTTTTGTAGCGAAAGTGTGACTGTAAGAATGTTGTTAAGTCCTTGAAAACTTGTTTACCAAGAGGATATGTCGCGTATATACAGGAATTGAACTCTTCTGTAGAGGGTTTGATTCAAGTGATTATCTGTGAAACTTTTTGTTTAGAAGTCTTTCCCTTGATTTGCTATCTCAAAATAAGTTAAGCTTACAGGAGCATTTTAAATTTTCATCCTTTTAAACTTCTGCTACTTCTCAAACTGGGATTAAACACCTATCCTTGATTACTTGACAACTTCTTTTGCGTTAAATCCGTTCGTCGGCCTTCACATACTAAATCACCGATCATTTTTCAAAGGTCTTATACTTTTTAATTATATGTACATATATTTATATATACTTGAGCCTGAGTAGACATATATATAATTCTATACCTGTCTTAATTACTCTACCATTATGTGCATATTTTAAAAATGAAGTCGCCCCAGTAAAAGTATAGGAACTCTCATATTAAAAATGAATTATAAAATATAAATTATCAATGACTCACATCTATTGCAATAGGAGCAATTTTGTGCACCACCACTGATTGTTTCTCTGGTTCATTAGGAACCCCACTCGTGGGGCCTTTTCTTTTTGATCTGTCCGACGCTACAGAAACCTCAGCTGATTCTCTGGTAGAACTTCTACCTGAATCATGCTGATCATCTAAATGTCTGTGGAAGTGTTTTCCTTCTGATAAAATATTTGCATTTTCATCAGTTGGTGTTTTGTTTTTATCATCCCTTGAAAAGTTGAAGGCTTCTTTCGTTAATTTTTCCAAAAACAATTCTTGTTTGTGACTCTGTTTAGACTGAGGTTGATAAGTTTCTTCTGCAGTTGGTGTTAGAGATCCTTCAGATGGACTTAGATCAGTTTCGTCTTGTCCCTGTTGGATATTCGGATGAGAATCGTTAGAAAATGTTTGTAATTCTACGTCAGGCGACATTAGACCTGAAGAATAAGCAGTAGTAGAATCATCTTTGCGACGTCTTCTTGATGGCGAGAATAAGGAACCCAGAGACAACGTGCGTAGAAATGTGAGAGTTTTGTTTTTTGTTTTCGTTTCATTCCCAGAAGATAGTGTGCAACCAGCTGTTAAAGTGGCTGACTTTTTTTCCATTGTCCATCTTGTTGGTCTGGAAGATGATGATGGCTTTTCTGAAATATTTTCGTCACTTTCTGATCGATGACCCATTCGTGGTAATGTTGAACAACCTCTTTCATCTGTACCTCTTGGTGTTGGTGTTCTACTTTTACTAGTTTTGCGTTTAACACAGCGCAACATTATGAAATAAAGTGATTGAACAACAGGAATTAAAAAAAAAGAAACTGTAATTTGAGGAAACCAAAGATAGCTTGGACAATAGATGCAAAGGGGCTTGAATGATATGACTGTGGGCTAAACTATTAACAGATTTTTTGATATAATTGTTTTCAAGAGTCCAAGATGCATTGGGATGAAGCCAAACTAGGTATCTTGTTAAACTGTTCACTAAAATTTTCTACAAATAAACTGTATGTTGAACCAAACATCTGACAGAACACATGTCAGTAGAAGAAACAAAAAGGCACTCTACATGAAAGCATAGCATTGTGGTGATATAGTAAGTGAATAAGCAAGAAAGTGAATGTGGAAAGCAATTAAACTAAACGGCAAAACCAGTCAGTGTCTCCAAACTATTATTTTTTTATAACTAAATAAGAGAGGCACTAAGAATGAATCTCACTTGAGGTAAGCGTACGATGTGCGACTGCGGCTGTTTGCGTTTAGAGTGAACAGACAGATAAACTGAGGCCAATTTTGAAGACTGCACCGGGTTCAGTAATTGTCAGTCAAAGTGAAGTCTAAATTCCGTTCGATACAGATGTTTATTTCAGATGTACGATAAACGTTCACTTTTTAAAATGATTTCGATACTTCACATGTGTAAGTTAACTATCCTTTGGCAACTAATTCTCACTCCCTGATCAATTTGTAAACCAACCAATGAAAACAAGTGAATAATCTCACTGAAAAAAACAAAATTCTAGTTGGTTGAATCATTTGGGTTATGGGCTAACTGTTAAGGCCGGTATATGTCTATCCACTTATAATTTGGAATTATGTCGAACTATCACATTAAATGACATGTGGTTAATATATGTCTGGATTCAAATAAGCATTCAGAAATAAAGCTATTGTAGTTTTTCATCACGAATCAATAATACTTTCATCATAACCGAAATTTCGAGAAATAGTAGACCACTCCAGTGATTATGTGATCGCTGTGTGAACACGAAATCATTTTCAGTTGAACATTATATCCTTCATCACCCGATCATGTGTGTTTAACTCATTTTAGTGACTAATTTCATTTCTGGTTGTTCCTCCTGTTTTTTACTAGTGGCTGATGTATGCTCAAAAACTCAAAAAGCATAAATACTTTGAAATGTAAATTTAATCAGTAAAATAAAAAAGTAATTTGACCAATCATGTCATAGAGAAGCATCACAAAGAAATCAACCTGCAGTTATTTGTATATTATTGATGAGAAAACTGTATTTCCTGAAACCGTCACTTATTTACCTGGTAGAAAAGTGTGGAGTAAACTAGTAGAGAAGAAAAGTCAGTAGTACATCGTTCGGCACACTGAGTCTGAGTACAAGCAACCAAATAGCAAACCGTAATCAAATTAATGTTCACAACACTTATGTATTCAAAACCCTAGCTACCTTTGTGAATGAGGAGTCAATAGGAAGCAGTATCAGCAAATGTATGACTACATATTTTTTATTTATCTAAATAAAAACATGTCGAAAATTGGTTCAGAAGCTATTAATGCATAATATTGATTGCACCCAGTTGAAATGGGAGGATTTATTCGACAATGAAACAAAAGTTCTGTGAACAAAATCTCTGGATTAATTATGTTCTAATAAAGCACCTGTAGTCTATTTACTGCATTAAGGAAGAGATTGTAGATTACCTTTAAACTCGAGTCACAAAAGCTTTCTGAACCACCCGTTATTTATTATGCCCTGAATTTAGTTAATATAATTACACAATAAATGTTAAGAAAATTATTTTCCTAAATGAATATTACAAAATTGGACTGAAATAATACAAACCTCTACTTTGAAAAATACACATTTTTCATTCCGTTGAGTTCTTAGTGGAATTTTAGTAGCGGTGTTATTGTTGTTTTTACGGGACGGGATTGGGCCCAACCTTCCCTCTAAGCCAGGCTTACTACCGAGTAGAAGAGTCTATTTTGGAGTGTGCCAGTTGGCAATGGACCTCGGATGAGGTTGAAGTTACATTCATTTGTCTACAAGTATTTGGTACTTAAAATAATTGGCAAAATGTATACATTTGCGGTTTTACATGAATTTACATTGCTTCAACAAAAATTCAGAAATATTTGGATAAAATAATTTTAAATATTTCACTTAGTAAAATTCAAGTGTTTACATCGGTTAAGTTAATAGGTATCTTTGCTTTCATCACTTTCAGTTGAAACGGTGGAAGTTTGTAGATTCTAAATAACTGTAGATAATCAAATAATAACATTCATTTATTTGGGCGAAAATTCCAACTGAATGTTCCTTTTTAAGTACGTGAATTTATCTCCTTCGAATAGGTTTCATTAACAACTCAACAACACGATATACCTCTATTTCACAAAGAAAGTGGTCTAGAACTAGACTGGTAAGTTCAGCAAATCATTACCATATTGTCCTTTTATCTTTCAGAGAAGTCATTGATAAAGTAATTAATGTGTCATGCTTAGCTAATTTTTAAAAACAAACAGGTCCGTCCATCAAAGATTTCCAGTTTACTGGATGAGGAAAACAACATACAACAAACGAAAAATTAGATTCGTCTAGTCTTTAATCATCATCTAAAGTGGGAATGAATCGAAAAATTGAATTACTGGGAATTTATAAGGGAAATTTAACACCAGAGAATACAGGAATATTTATTTGAGCTATATTTTCAGTGTCTTAAGTTGGTTTGAAGGTTTGTGACATTAACTTCAAAAGTAAGATAAGAATTCAAGTGTTGGTTTGTAGGGATTTGATTGGTTACAGGATTTTCATCATGAGCTGACATTAGTCAGAGAACCATTGGGAAACCTGGGAGTACTAAACAGCTGTTTCGTCCTAGTTTGGAACTCTCCAGCAGTACGCACCCACCGGGATTCGAACCCAGGACCTTCTGGTTACAAGGCGAGCTCGTAGACCATTCAGCCACTGGGACCCGATCCAATGGTCCATGAATTCTAACTTCTGCCAATTCACGACATAGCGCAACCGCTAGTCAATGTCTTCGGCGAGTATTTGTCCTCACGCCAGCTCATGATGAAAATCCTGTAAGATAAGAGTTATTCACCAATACTGTGTGAGATGATTTTGAAAATGTTCCCAGTGTTTTGTAAGCTGGTTTCTACTTACTAGTATGCCTCTTGAATGTGATAAATGTATGATATATAGTCGTTGTGGTAATGAATATTTCCAACCTAATTTTTGCAGTGGACGTTTCATTCAATAATGTTTTAAACAGACATGTGGAGTATGGCATTACTATGTTACAGTGTTTGAAGACATATTTCCGGCCAGATTGATTAGAAAATGTGATAAAAGATACAGCTTTAGTTAAGAGGTATAGATGACAGTTTTGTCGTAACAGAACTACTCAAGGTTTTCATGTCCGTTCATCAACAGCGCACAGCCTAAGAAATAGTAGTTGTACTTAAACACAGAGTAATCTTAATGTGCTTGCGAAGGTGACATGATTTCAGTTAACAGGAGACTCAAAAACTACGTTTGTATAACTTAGGAACAAAAGGTTCAAGGTTAAACAAAGCAAAGCCAAAAAATAATATTTGTTTGGATACTATGGGAAAGAATTTGGATAACAAAGTCAGGTGGCTTATGAGTTAATAAGGGACCAGTAAGTTGCATGACAGTGTGGTCGATTCAAGCCCAACCATGAAGCCGAAAGACAAGCAGAATTACATTATAGCTAGAGGCTAAGAGATTGAAGTCAAAGACTACGTATTCATATGAAAGGGAATGTAAAGAAATGGGGTTTCCAGGGTAACGAAAGACTGATAGTTGCTTCTTTCTGAACACAAAAATCCGGTTGAAAGTGTTTGACAGGAATTACCTCGGTGAACTTAGTGAAAAAAATTATACTGCTTATTGATAATTTGAAGGACTTCAGGATATCGACCTTATGTCCCATATTAATAGGATGCCTGGTTATAGCAAGAGTAGGCAGATCCCCTTCTTTTGTTAGCTCTTATTGTATACAAATTTGAATGTATCTGTGATAACAGTCATAATGTGACACTGTGAGAACAGGAAAAAGGATATACCTTGCATTTCCTGAACATGTACCGAAAATCCCACGTCTCAAGGAGACAAAGGCTTTCAGTAGTGCTACTATCATTACTTGAACCTTTTACAATGTACGAAGCTGATGAGAAGATGATGGGATAAACGGTGGTACCATCTTTTTCCGCATAAACCATTGTCTTTTATTTGCTCAAAATCACATATTATCACGTCATTCACTGCTGTATACTGACTTTAGTCAATACTATATAAATTAAAAAGGAGGTGCAGTGATAAAATCTTAACTATACATAAAAAGCACAGTTCAACATTTCGCTACACTTGCGTTATCGAGTTACTTGTAATGTGAACAACGAACTGTTGCTAACATTCTGACACTTGATGATAATAGGAAATTCAGTTTATCCGACTTTATGAATATGGTGCAGTCATTAATAAGTAACTAGGCTTCACAAATGACTCTTCATTTATCTTAGGAAATATCAAGCTTTCATCATACTTCACATATTTTTACAGTCTGTTGCGATACAACACAGTAATTAGAGATTTTCTAATTTCAAAGCTCAGAAAACAACACAAAGCTTACAGTCCTTGAAGATAGTAGTTTCAAATAGATGGACATTTTTATTTTACATTTGTGACAAAAAACATGCCTTCATTTCGTTTTGAAACGGTTAAATGAGCAAATGTCAGAGAAAATCAAGTGTTAAGATATCAGAAGGCGTACATTTGATTTCCACACAAAGTTATAGAAGGCCTTGATCACGAAAACCAGTGAATTTCTCAACACGGGAACTCTCGTTTTGATGGTTAAAATAGGAAAGCTTTAACTATCGGATGGTTAAAAGGTTTACACTAAGCTTGTAATCATTTTAGTGTAAACTATTACTTTAGGTGGAATGCAACTTTTGGTTGAATTAATTTATTAGTCGGAAAAGAGTTTTAAGATGCTCAACCAAATATGGCACTATTCACATATTTTTAGGTAATGCGATTTAAATCACTTATTTTGTATGTGATATTAGGAATATAGGCTATAATTCAACTAGATATAATTTCACTAATAATTTATTTATTTTGATTTTGATTTACAGCTTGATTCCACACCGTATTTTCAGTACAAGTTTGGAATTTTCAGCATGGATATCGGTAGCCCAAACTTGCAGGCCGATCATAGATATCGGGTGTGTGCCGGCAGGGAATCGAACCCCGGACCATGTGCGTGGTCGGCGAGAGTCCTAACCTCTGTGCCACCGACTGTGATTCATCATATTTAAAAGCGGAAATAATCAGAAAACTTCATAATATTCACATGCTGTTCTTTACGGATTATATTCGTGACTACAGACTACTAAAACAACTCGCAACTTTATCTGAAGTCTGAATAAATGACGAAATAACAAGTTATATTCATTGAGTGTGAGCGAGGCGCTGATATCCGAAATACACTGTTCAAAGCTAGAAGCTAATTATATTTAGTTTCTCCCCAAATTGACAAGGCTACTAGTGGTATTCAGAATAAACCGGAATCGCTGAAGTAGAGTTTTCCTGATTATTTGACTTTTGTACTTTGAGCAGTCAGTGAATAAAATGTGTTACACTTTACATAGA